TAAATTAAAAATGTATTTTACTAAAAATGTGTTAAACTTCTAAATATTCGAGAATTTTTAATTAATATATAAAAATAATTCGAGAATTTTTAATTGATATATAAAAATAATTCAAACACTTTTTATTAACAACAATATATATATATATATATATATATATATATAAGTAGGTATATAAACTCGTATAAATTAATAATATTGATAAAAAAGAGCTATGACGAGTATAAAACGAGGATGTGATTTCGTTACTTATAATTTATTACAATTAGTAAACAAATTTTGATGTTTTATTAATTACGGAATTTTTGTTTGTTGAAGATGGCCCAAAAAGGGGTTGAAACGTCCAGACATTATTCAGATTTTTATTGTAATAAATTATAAGTAACGAAATCACATCCTCGTTTTATACTCGTCATAGCTCTTTTTATCAATATTATTACTTTTTATTAAGAAAATACATAATTTTATTAACTTATTTTTATTGTACACATATAATTTACTGTATTTAATATATGTTGAGCATTGTGTGTGCGTGTGTGTGTGTGTGTGTGTGTGTGTGGAGCGCGCGCGCAATAAATTCTTTATACGATAAGTTTTATTTTTAAAAAATTGCGAATTAGGTGAAATTTTCTTGCAAAATTACTTGTGATATATATATATAATTTTTATTAAAAATATTTGGCTACAAATTTTAAACTTTTAATTGTTTAATTCAATAATTTTTAATTTTCATAAAAATAATTCAAACACTTTTGTTAGAGATGTATTGAAAAAATATACAAATCAATGAATTGGCATGAATTTTTAACTAGACATTCTTAGTAACGTTCCAAATTATGACTTATTATGAATAATTATGAATTATTTTTAATTTTTTACTTGTTACTCGTTTAAAAATTATATTAATTAATGCATTTTGCGATTTTAACGTAGGATTTTATATAAACGTTCGAGAGACAGATAATAAATTATTCACAACTATGAAAAACCAATAATAAAAATTTGATTTTATTAATATAATATTCTTCAAACATGTATAAAAATTAATAGTAGATATCTTGTATCGCCAGTGATGAATAAAATTAAAAATAAATGTGAGACGACCCAACTGGCTTAAATTAATTCTTATTATTATTAGTTTGATGCCATGTACAAGAAAAGACAACGTTTCGACCTTAGGTTTAGGTCCTTATCAAGTCTAAAATTAACATTAAAAATACAATAGATGTACATACAAGAATTTTGATTTTTAAGAAAGTAAAGCGCAAACCAAGATTATAATAACAATTTAAACGTACCTTACAAATTCTTAAGTGCAATATATAATTAATTTTGTTCCATTTTACATATTTCAATATAAATATTGTGTCACGTAAACGTTCGGTATGGATGGTAAAGACGAACTAAGTTAAACAGCTTTGATTATTCTATCATAGATCGGATTCAAATTCTCTGTGTCTTTCTGTAGGTTGATCGTGTTATTAAATTTTTTTATAAAAAACATTTCAGCAATCTCTCTTTTCCTAGTGTTTGTTTCTCGATGTAAAATATTTAAGTTTGTCCATTTAAAGTCATGCGAAAAATCATTTCTATGTTTGCTTATAACATTTTGATTGCTGACATGCATTTTTATATTATTCATATGTTCTTTAATCCGAGTATTAAGGTGTCTTTTAATTTGTCCGATGTATGTGGCGTCACAGTCATTGCAGTCAACTTTATAAACTATCTCGGTCATATCGGCTTTAGGTAATTTGTCTTTTCGGGGTTTAATAAACGTATCAAGTTTTTTTGGAATCGTATAAATAACACTTAAGCCTGTTTTCTTAATAGATCTCTCAATAGTCTCACTTAGGTTCTTAACATACGGCATTAAAATACAAGACGAAATATCAAATACATTATTTTTGTCAACTACGTTATGAGAATTTTCTAAAAAACATGTTCTTTTATACAAATATCGCTCGATGACCGTCCTAGGGAAACAATTATTCAACAAGATTTTTTTAACCATCTGTAAGTTCTCATTATGAAATCGTTTATCCGATAACAAAATAGCGTGGTCGACTAAGTTATTAATCGTGTTAACTTTGTATTTAAACGGATGGTTAGAATGGTAGTTTAAATATCTACCAGAGAAGGTGGGTTTCTGGTACCAACTAGTCAATAGTTTACCATTGTTTCTAAAAACCAATGTATCCAGAAAGTTAATCTTGTTATTTATCTCTGTTTCATGTGTAAATTGCAAACGGTGATGGTATTTATTAAACGTAGTCAAAATGTTATCCATTTTATTGCGTGGTACTATTGCAAAAATATCATCAACGTACCTATAATAAACTGAAATGTCAAATTGTAAAGAGCTTAAACATTCTGTCTCAAGATCAGCCATAACTAAGTCTGCTAAAATAGGTGAAAGGGGGGATCCCATTGGCGTACCATGTATCTGTTCATAAAATTGATCGTTGAAACGAAAACTAGTAGATTCTAATACAGCGTCGATTCCATATAAAAATTGTGTCAAACTAAAATTTGTGTTACATGAAATATCTTTCCAACGTTTTTCAATAGCTTTTAAAACTAATTCCTTAGGAATGTTTGTGAATAAAGAAGTGACGTCAAGAGAAATTAACATTTCATTATCTTCAATACTCAAATTCTTGATTTTATTCGCGAACGTCCAACCGTCTTTAATATGTGAGATAGGTTTCGTAATTGATCGTTCCAATATATCATGTAAAAAACGTGCTACACTGTACACCGGGCTCCCAAGTGACGAAACAATTATACGTAAAGGCGCGTTAACTTTGTGAATTTTCGGTAGACCGTAACATCGAGGAAGGTTCCCATTTGTGGTATTAAGTCGTTTATATGTCATTTCATCAATCAATTTATTATCTCGCCATGATTTGATTAAAGAATTGATTCTACCCGAAACTTTCTTGAGCGGATCTTTTTTCAGTTTAGTATATGTACCTTGATCACTTAGTGAAACATTCATTTTGTCTATATAATCTTTTTTGTCCATAATAACTGTAGTTTGACCCTTATCGGCTGTCGTAACTAAAATGTCATCGTTATCACGTAGATAACTATGACATTGTTTAGAGTTGTTTATAATGTATCTATCTATGTAGCTAGTGTGTTTCTTTTTGCTAAGAAATCCATATGCCGCTTTAGTTACCTCGTTTCTTGTCGATTCAACAAGAGAATTAGGAATCTTAGTGCAATTAATTTCTAGGTTCTTAGCTATATCGATAACAATGTTAGTGCGGTCATTCTTATAATTCTGTGAGACAGGCAACCCGAATTTATCACCTAAGCTTAAAAAATCTAGAATGTTCTCTGGAATAATTTTATTGCTCAAATTTACTATCCATTTCGATCTGTCAATTTTACTAAAGGGGTTAAGTGAAACATTATTATTACGTATTAAATTATTGAACTTTTTAATCGCGTTATCCTTTTTCGTTTTATTAAAAATAAATAATTTATGTTGATTAAGTTCAAAAAATCTGTTAATTAAAGTACGTGGAAGTAAGTCAAACATCCTTTTTTCGATGTTATAAAGTTTGGAATGTAAGAACTTTATGTTATAATTTAAATCTTTAATTTCTAAGTTCAACAATCTAATTCGAGTTCGTCTAGAAAAATAATCAAATTTTTGGTTTACGCTATTACTGTAGAAAAAGATGTTCAATTTCAATTTCTTGATGTGTGGTGGAAGTAAATCCAATCTTCTGCATCGAAGCAGGAAAATTAGTTGATGTTTCGATGTAAATAACTTCTTCTTGATATCAATCCATGATTTCAGCAACAATGTGTGGTTAAAACCATAAAGATCAGAGATTGTTTGAAAAAAACCACCTCTCCGTGTAAGCACCATCATTCGGTCAATGTGCAGTAAAATTAATAGTAGATATCTTGTATCGCCAGTGATGAATAAAATTAAAAATAAATGTGAGACGACCCAACTGGCTTAAATTAATTCTTATTATTATTAGTTTGATGCCATGTACAAGAAAAGACAACGTTTCGACCTTAGGTTTAGGTCCTTATCAAGTCTAAAATTAACATTAAAAAATACAATAGATGTACATACAAGAATTTTGATTTTTAAGAAAGTAAAGCGCAAACCAAGATTATAATAACAATTTAAACGTACGTAATGTATAAAAATGTTTCTACAAAATTTCAAAACGAGTTACTTGCTCGTTTTACATATTAATTGTAAAAACTACTGTGATTATTGATTTAACCGAGCATTCAGTGGTATCAACGCAACAACCGAAAGTTTAATTTAATTTTAAACTATAGCGATTTTCTATAAAATGTACAACGTGAATATTTTTATATACGATTGTTTGTCCCATATATTCTTAAACAAAAATATATAATTTTTATATTGTTATATGTAGAAAATAAAAATTATTTAAATATTATAATATATAATGTATAAATTATATATTTACCAAAAGTGAAATATTAAAATATACCGATTTTTAATCTTTTAATAAAACAGACAAACTTGTATAAATAAGAAGTTATAATTTATATATAAAAACAAATTCTTTATACAAATTTAATTTTTTAAAAATTATAAATTAGATGTTTTTTTTTCCGAAATTACTCGTGAACATTTTCGCGCTCGTAGAACGCAATTTCGTTGCGAGAGCTCGCAAACGAATTGCGAAGAACGAGCGCGCGCCACTGCCAGTAAATCGATGCCAGGGAGACGACGCCGATCCTCGCCCTCTGTTCCGCCACTACTGCCGTCGCCACCGCTACTACCATCCACTGCTGCCACCCCCGTCGTCTTCGCTCTTCGGTAATTTAAGCTCCAACTCGGTTCAGCTGAGTTCAGTTGCGCCACTTGATCGTGTGGTTTAACGTGCCGTCGTACGCTTCTAAAAGTTTTGTGCGCACACAATCGCGGAGAAATTATTTCTTCTTTTTTTCCTCAAACCTCGGTTTAATTATTTTTTTTTCTCCTTTTTCTCCTTCGTTCTTTCTCTCCTCTTTTTCTTAATTTGTCTATTTTTCAATTTAATCTGTCTGTTTATCGTTTGCTTTGCTATTTTGCCATTTTTGTTCGAGAAATATGTGAGGTGCACATGTATTAGGCGAGAAAAAGTCTTGAAAAGTGCGGCAAGTCTTTGATGTTTCTTCTCACAAAAGTCTACGTCTCCTCATCACAAGGTAAATAGCTTCGTATCACGAATATGTGATAATACATGACAAGATATTTGACAAGTGGATTTCTAGATCATTGAAATTTATTAAATTTATCATTGTTTGTTAAAATAATTAAATTTTATGTGAAAATATATAAATATTTCGAGTGATGATAGATTCGTCCTAGTAGTATTTAAAGACTGATACAAGTACACCGTTTCATTCAGAAACGCGGCCCTCGAACACGCGGTTACATTCTTTCAGGCAATAACAAAACATGTATTTTGCACTAAAAGCGCCATGTTTATCTATATAATCTCTAAAAACTCACCTTTAAAAAAAGGTAAAAAAAGGCGACCAGTTAAGGGCACGCCATTAACAAAAATTATCCATTGCAAACCCATGTAGAATCCTATCCTATTGCAAACCCATGTAGAATCCTATAAAAAATTAATCATTGCAAACCCATGTAGAATCCTAGGCAAAATTAACCATTGCAAACTCATGTAGAATTGTATTAAAAATGATCCATTGCAAACTTATGTAGAATCCTACATTGCAAACCCATGTACAATAGAATTGTATGAAAAATTATCGATTATAAATTCATGTACAATCGTAACAAAAGTAATGAAATAAAAAAAAAATTGCGCCAAGTGAAAGTAGAAACTTGTACCAGTGGAAAATTAAAGTTGCAGACATATATAGAGTCGTATAATGAATCAGTAAAAATTTAAATTTGCAAATGTAGAATCGTACCATAAAAAAACTTATCTTTTAAAAAAAAAGATAAACAAGATGCCAAGTCCATGCGCCATGTAAAAAAGAAATAAAAAAATTTTAGTTAAAAAAACTGGGCGCGCTGCTAAGTTTCAAAATTACAATGCACCTTAAAGTAACATTAATTAATTTAAACACAAAACATATTTTAACTGTAATGAGTTTAAAAGTAACAATTTAATTTTAATATTGTTAGAATATTATTTAGCAGCGCTCCCAGTTTTTTTAACTAAAATTTTTTTATTTCTTTTTACATGGCGCATGGACTTGGCATCTTGTTTATCTTTTTTTTTAAAAGATAAGTTTTTTTATGGTACGATTCTACATTTGCAAATTTAAATTTTTACTGATTCATTATACGACTCTATATATGTCTGCAACTTTAATTTTCCACTGGTACAAGTTTCTACTTTCACTTGGCGCAATTTTTTTTTTATTTCATTACTTTTGTTACGATTGTACATGAATTTATAATCGATAATTTTTCATACAATTCTATTGTACATGGGTTTGCAATGTAGGATTCTACATAAGTTTGCAATGGATCATTTTTAATACAATTCTACATGAGTTTGCAATGGTTAATTTTGCCTAGGATTCTACATGGGTTTGCAATGATTAATTTTTTATAGGATTCTACATGGGTTTGCAATAGGATAGGATTCTACATGGGTTTGCAATGGATAATTTTTGTTAATGGCGTGCCCTTAACTGGTCGCCTTTTTTTACCTTTTTTTAAAGGTGAGTTTTTAGAGATTATATCATTCATTTTTGTATATTTTTATGACCGGAATAGAACAATTATTAAACATGTTTATCTAAACTTCTTTGCTTAAAATGATGTGTACAATCATATCCTAGAATCCTGATCATTCCTCCTAAAGCACCCTATTTATATAAATTTACCCATATGTGTGTGTGTGTGTGTGTGTACTAATGTCGAGCATTTTTTATACATTTTCTATTAAATTTAGATAAAAGTTGCAGGATTTCGAAAAAGAAAAAGTTGACACAGACTTTTTCCTAAACGGCGATTTTCAAGGTTATTTAAAGGTCACTTATATTTTCAAAATAGAATTACCTTAATTTTTCTCATATAAATCGATTCCTCGCAATATTTACTATAAAAAGTTGTAAAGGTATAATTTTTACATAATCTTACATAAACTTCGAAATATTACAAATATTTTATTCTATGAAATATTTCAGTTTATGTAAAATTATGTTAACTATCTTTTAAATTATTCACTTTTAGCCATCTTACCCTTACAACCTTTTATAGTGAATATTGCAACAAATTGGTTTATATATATAATATATATATAACATCAGTTATTATTAATTGATGTTTACATTTATTTTTAGACTTACTAGAGCTCTAATGCTCCACATTTTTTGCAAAAACTGTTTATTCTACAGATTTCAAATATGCTTTTAAATGATGATTGAATATTTCCTTTTTTTAATTATTTTTATTATTATTTTTCAATCTCAATCAACTTTTATAACTTTATGCCAGCACGATACAAATACATGTGTCTTTATTTTTTTTATTATTTTCATTATTATTTTTCAATCTCAATCAACTTCTATAACCTTATGCCAGCAGGATACAAATACATGTATGTCTTTATTATTGTATCAACTCTTGTCTTTTCCATGTAACCATGTCTTCATAGTTTGAATTATCCCTTCATCTTCTCAATCTTTCGCAGAGATTTAATTAATTAAATACACTTCACACGAAATAAAGTTTGCTGGAAGATATACAGCAAACGATAACTGTAAAAACATGATTACGTGGAAAGAACAAGAGTTGGTACAGTAAAGGCAAGTAAGTAAGTACATGTAATGTATCGTATTGGCATAACGCTATATCCGCGGAGCAGATAATGTGGCTGTAGAGGTAGTCTGCAGTGCAGCTAATGTGGACGTAGATGTTGATTGAGATAATTGTCTAATATAAAATAGAATTTAAAAATTTAGTTTAAAAAGCTGTTGCATATATAAATAAAGTTTATTTTTTCTAAATTTGGAATATGTTTAATTAATTAATTTTTTAAGTTTATGTTTAATAAATTTTTTAAGTCTGTATTCAATAATTTTATTCATTTGATAAATACATGTATGTCTTTATTTTGATATGTTTAATATAATTAGAAATTCATTATTAATTAGATATGTAAACTATAAATTCATATATAATATTTGAAAATATATGTGAATATTTAAATTTTTATCTTCTCCTTCCTCTCCTTCAATCTCTTTAATATCAATATGTGTATGTGTGTACACGCGCGCACATTTGTACGTATTTATTTAATTATTGGATAGTTGAGAGTACTTAATTGATAAAAAATTATGACAATAATAATCCTTGTTTTTTTTTCTTATTATTTACTCAGATTTTTTTGTCTATCTTATAAGATAAACACTTTAGAGATTGAATATTTCAAGTAAACTAATTGTAAGTAAATTTCACATTAATGCATATAGATGTTTAATCATGAATGTACTGAATAAGTACACAAGACGAACAGTGAGTGAGTGAGTGAGAATGAGAGAGTGTGTGTGTGTGTGCGTGTGTGTGTGAGAAAGAGAGAGAGAGAGAGAGAGAGAGAGAGAGAGAGAGAGAGCCAACATAACCCCGCACGCTGCCGATCATGAATGTACTAAATAAGTACACAAGACGAACAGTGAGTGAGTGAGTGAGAATGAGAGAGTGTGTGTGTGTGTGCGTGTGCGTGTGAGAAGAGAGAGAGAGAGAGAGAGAGAGAGAGAGAGAGAGAGAGAGTTAGCCAACCTAACCCCGCACGCTGCCGATATGGCGGAGCGCCACTATCGCCATCTGTTGTAAAACGTGCGAGATGGACAAAATTACCACTACATGCATCTTGCATGTGTTGTGTACGTGTGATATATGTGTGCGCATGTGTTGTATACGTGTGAATACGTGTAGCACGATACTACTATGTATGCGTGGTCGATGATGATAATGATGATGATAATGATGATAATGATGATGATAATGATGACGGGGACGTTTCTTAATAGAAATTTTTCATATTTCGACTTTGCATTTATATATCTCTGCTTACAAATCACGTAGAGCAGAAATAAAGACACTTTTATTATATAATTCGAACTCAATCTATCGATTAAGTCTAGTATAAACTCGATTGCTTCAGCCATTATTGAGGATTCGAAATATTATAAAGACTCAAATGTCCGACTCGCGTTAAGATACACGGTGTCTCCGCTACGCCCTTAACTGGTCGCGAGACACTACCGTGTCTCTTGATTCTCATTAGAATTCGATTGTTTTAGACAGATTCAAAATTGTAAAAAAATATTAAAATTTTGAAGAACATAAAAATTTAGAAACAGTTTTAACATTTTTCTTCACGTGCTTATGCATCATCAAAGTTTATTCAAGGTGTATACTCCCTGGAAAAACCTGGAAAACCTAGAAATCTGTTCTACCTTGAAAAATCTTGGAATTATACATGGAGAGAGGGGAAAAGAACGAAATCAAAATCGAATAAAAGTTTCTTAAAGTAGAGACTTCATGCACCTTTTAAAACAAAAAAAAATTTTCAAATACGATAATTTTTCGCGGAGATACGCTTATTTACGCAAAATTTTGATATTAATTGCGTGTTGCAATAATTTTTTTGACCAGTGTATTAAAAAAATACTTTATTTATATTTAAAAATTATGTATAACAAATAATTATTTCAAAATACTTTATTTATATATTAAAAAAATACTTTATTTATATTAAAAAATTATGTATAACAAATAATTATTTCAAAATTGTATTCTAAATATTGTTTAAAATACATTAATTTTATCTGGAATTTTGAACAAAAGTACCTGGAAAGTTATGGAATCCTTAGGGAATTTATTTCGAAGATTTGAGTATGCATTCTGTTATTGTAAAAGAAAACTTAGTTAATGGTTAGTATATATAATATTCAAAAAAAGTATATAGTGAATATTTCTGCTGAATATGGCAAAAGTAATAAATCATCAAAAAATAATTAAAACTTTATTCTTTTCTCTCTCCCCCTCTTTTCTCATCCCCCCCTCTTTCTCTCTTCCTTCTTACTTTAGCTTTATCTTCATACATAATTAAAGTTCTCTTCCACAATTTTTTCCAAAAATTAAATGTTAAAGTAATTTTCTTTTAAAAGATATAAATTGTCTTGTCTTCAATCTTTTGTTATACTTTAAATGTTTC